GTCTATGATCATATGATTTTCTAGCTCCGCTGTGCTTTTAAAATTTTCCCTAGAATGCATCATTAGTAATCTGCATTTTAGGAACTGAATAAAATGAGTGCCCTCTTTCTTCTTAAAAATAAGAAATAGTAAGGAAGAGGAAGAAGAAGAAAAGAATATACTTTCTTTTTAAAAGCTGAAGTGCCTCTTCAAGATGATAGCTTTAGTTACTGCATACGCTGCTTTATCTCAACTGAGATTTGAGGTTTAAATGCCTGTTTGCAAAAATTTGCATTGCTCATTATAAAAGATTTATTCCTGCATATGCCACTCTATTTGATCAGTTCATATTAACATATCTGCAAAGTGCCTTTAAAGTAGGCACCTATGTGCTGCACAATCACAAAAGTCAAAGGGATGTTACTTATTGACGGGCCTAAGTATGAACTAAGGATTTTATCTTTAAAAGTAAAATGAAGAAAGTGATGGTTGAAGGGCATATTCCTTCAGACACAATCACACACACACACACACACACACACACACACACACAAACACACACACACACACACACACACATACTAACAAGAGTTATCCCAAGGAGTGTCTTTGTTCAAGACAGAGTAACATAAGCTTTCTGTCTGGTGATGGGTAAACAGCAGAACACTGGCAAGGAGATAGGGGTGTGCTGATGGATCAATTATTTCAGCTGCCAAAACACTTGGTGTGCAGAATCCATGAGTAACAGCAGGTCGCGACCCTTAGACTTGCACCACATAGGTGTCAATCTGGACTTGTGCACTCCTAAAGAATTACTGCTTCCCTTGTTATCTGTAGCACATGCGTAGTACCCCATATTGCAGCCTATTAATTCACCTTAAACCCACATCGCCCCCGAATTTCACCATAGGCCAATGCTCTGTGGTGCCTGGGACAGCCCGGTCACTTCCCTGCAAGGTTCCTGGAGTTCCCCTTGCGGTTCAGGGATTTCAAGGTAATAAACATCTAATAACCTTGCTCCAGAGTGGTGTCTTCTACCCATGCATATTCTAAGTGTCAGTTACTGCCATTACCACATATAAAAATCATTAAGTATACTATTTGATTTTGATAATCATTTCTACCTTCAAGCAAATGTCTCTTGTGATTAATGCAAACATAATATATTGTTACAGAGAGTCTATGATGTCTTAGAGTATTGGCGAAATATTTCGCCTCAGCTTGATAGGATTGCTCATAAACGACCATATATGCAGCAAGATCACTGCTTCCTGCATTACTTGCCCACCATTTGAAAAACTGAGATTCCACATATTTATTTTTTCTATCTGGATAGTTTTTGCCTGAACAATTTGAATGCTCCAATATGTGGAAAACACCTTGAGAGAGTCTAGTATTTGTATAGAACCAGGTATATCCTATTCTCAGCAAATAGTTTTAAGACACTCATCTAGACTCTCTCAATAGGTATTCATTCAAGAGAGAGAGACATTTCCAAAGGGCAATTTATCCCACCTTAAGACAGCTGTCAAAAACAGCAGGAGGAAATGGTCTCTGGAGGTATTTCTCTCTTTCCTTTGATTTGTAAAAGTCTAGCTATCTAGTTTAGTCTAGATAGCTAACTTTTAGACAGATAAAATCAGGTCAGATGACACCTGTTCTGGGTATCTCTCCTCTTTATGCCACTCTAGATCTAGTTGACTTGGCCATGGAACAAAAAGGCTGTAGCCCAAAGCATAAAGGTCAGGACCGCACTTACGACTGCTTATGCAAGTTCACAGGAAATTCAACTGGATAAATGGGGTTCTTACTGAAGTCAGTGGAGTTTTCAGTAAGAAATGCAGAGTTAATGTAAAATCTCAATTAAAAAGCCAAAACAGCTTTTGGTTCTCATATAAATGTTATGTGAAAGGATGGGTAACCTACCAAATACACAGGAGTTACTTCTGGCCCCACCCTGAACACCATACATCATTTTGGAAACATAGAGAACTACACAGTTTTTTCCAGCACTGCAATAGTGTGCAACCACAAATGTACCTTACTTTGGAAAAGCTAGAAATAGGAGATGTGTCTCCACAGAACTGAGCTCTACAGCAGTCACGGGTTGTACATCCCATGGCAACCCAGGTAAGGATTTTGTGACACAGTTTATGTTCCCTTGCAGCTCTCCATCAGTTCAGAGCAGGCCCACAATCCCAGCAACGCTTAAAACCATTTTTTTCTTAGTTGCATCTCCTGAGATTTGCCTCCCTAGTGCATGCTTACTAGGAAACATAAGGGAGCTTAAAATTTTACCCCTTTCTAGTACTAATAGGGATGCTGGCACGCTCCACACCATCCAGTGCTGTCGTAACTACATAGCTGTGCAAGCCCCAGCAAATGGAGACTAACAGATGATTTCTAACAAGGATAATACAGAATTTTCTTCTCAGAATTATTCTCTAGTTTGGATATGCACTCCAAAAGCTTCACTGCAAACTTACATCTTTAAATTGACCAGCAAAACTGAGTCTGGAAATGTCATAATGTTTTCTCTACTTTCACAACATCTGCAAAGGGCAAAAAAGAAAGAGAAATCTTCTCAAGATATTTTAAGAATTTGCTCTCTCAGAAAACAGAGGACAATGATGCAAAATGAAGAGAGTTATAATAATTTGACTGAACTTTCTTTAATCAAAAATATACTTATTCGGATAGTGATTATACTAGACAGAGGTATGTTGTGGGGTGTCATAATACCTCATTGTACTATACTGGTAAGAGCTTGATTTATCCATAACAGGTGAGGAAGCACCCATCCACGTTTAACAAAGAAGATGGGTCATTGTTCATCCCTGTATATGCAGAAACACAGAGAGGCATAAAACCTTCTGTCTGTTGTAAGCCTGAATGCAGATTTAGTTTGAACGTGCAGTACATTTCTAGCGTCTCTTACCTTGACAGAGAGTATTTGTCAGCTGCGCACCAGATCAAGACTTAGATTTGTCTTCCATGCTCAGCTCTGCCATTGACTCTGTGCATTCTCACTAAACTCACCATTGTCTCAGTTTCTTCCCCCGAAACGCAAGAATAATAAACAGTCATTTATGCCGTACGTTCAGATCCATACATAGGAGATAATATTGTCTGTTTGCAAAACATTAACTGTTGTTTGTTCTCATTACGATCTACATTTATTTATTTAAACTAGTGAGACTGTCACAACACACTTTCTCTCTTAAGAAAGCAGTTTAGCACACTGCTTTCCGCATGTCTGGATTTGGGAGGCTTGTTTTTGTTTCAGCGAAACAGGTTCATGTCTTCTAACCTTGTGGCAAATTTTACCAAGATATTCCGTTACACAAACTTCTATTTTTAAATGTTAGAAAACACAAATGTTCCAGTTGTCAAAGCAGCTTTTCAAATTAAAATACTTGTGAAAAAAAGATGTCGAATACCTAACAATACAGTTTTGGGCAGTACCTCCTTTTTAAGATACAAAGAGATCTGTTGTGTGTTCAGGTCGTCAGCTTTCCACTAACGAGGCATACTGTCTCTTGAACGCACTTCAAGAAAAGTTAAAGGAGCTAATGTGCTGTAGGTTGACTGGCAGTTCAAAGGCTTCCAAGTCTCTCTGGAGTCTTTTCCTCTAAAGAAATGACATTAACTATGATTCATCAATCAGCGGTTTATGTAACCTGATAGCATTTCACTTTCGCTATCCATCAAGTCCCAAAGTCTTTTAGTGGATGATAATATGCTTTGTGTTCAGAGCTATCATCCCACAACTGGCTAGATACTGGCTACTAGAAATACTTAAAGGTGATACTCTCCACATTTCTAAGTACAATTTACATAGGGACCTCTTCTAAAAGATCTCAATCCTAAAACGTGTGAAACATCTCACCTAAAAGTGGAAGCTTCAGGAATATGGAAAAACTCTTGGAAATCAGGCACGCAGCTAGGCATCTACATGTGATCCTGGCTCTCTAACTTCAGGCACCTTATTTTTTAAAAACATGGACACTTTTCATAGGATTCCCCCAAACAGGGGGAATTGTTGCTCGGAAAGGTTTAAGTTGCATACATTCTCTTTTGACAATGGAAATTATAAGAACAGACTTCAGGTAACAGTGTACATTTAACATTTTCTGATAAAAAATATTTTACCTCCATGGGTGACAAATTTTATGGTTCTTTTAACAGCTGTTTAATCAATGCTGTAGACTATATCACCTAGATTAGTGGCCTGTAACCATCTGTAACACCACAGAGATGAATATGACCATTTATGACAACAGCTTACAAAATACTTTAAGAATGTGTTACTCTTCTGTTGATTTGAAATTATATGAAATGTTAAGTTATGCTGATGTGAAATTATATATTACACTGCCAAAGTTATCAGCTTTTTCCCATAATACCTGTAAGTGTGAATAGTGTGACTATCTGACAGTTCTTTAAAATGAAACTTGTTGTTTCAGCCCATGGGAACCCATCAGTAGGGGGTATAGGATTTCTGTGAAAAGTGAGTAACAAAAGCAAGCCTATAGTAATTAGAATTATAGTTATAGCTATAGTTATTAGCCATAGGTCCACCCCTCTATGTGGAAATGCTTAGAGATCCTGTAAATTAAGAAAAAAAGTTGAAAACCACCAATCTAGAGAGTAGCTTAGACTATAAACAAACGCTCTGATCCCAAAAGCATAGCTTAAGCTACCCATTCCAAAGAAATGCTTAGTATGTACTCAGTGTGCACTGATTTTAAAGAGACTTAAACTTGTCCTGCAGTTTGTGTTTCTGTGCTGCTCTGCATAGGGTTCTTTCCTGACTCAATTGCTGTGATAAGATGGATTTTCAGTTTTGTCCCATTGAAACTGTAGCATGCATAGGCACAATATGTGCTGGTGGTAAAATTAATATAAAATGTTAATGACTGAAAGTTTTCAGAGCCTCAGTTTCTTGTCTTGCAATAATAAAGTACCTTAAACCTTCCACTGGAAATCTGGTTCAATGCCAGTTTGTTGCAGAAAACACCACCTGCTGAATCATCCATGCCATTTGTAGCACCTGAAGTATTTATGAGATCTCGTACTTAAATGCTGACTTTTCCACACCATTCATGCCTTCTGTAATCAGGGTAGATCTCAACCAAAAGTGGAGCGGTGGCTAATCAATATTTGGTGGAAATTACATGATCATAATAGAGCAGAAGTTCACTGATTTTTTTTCACATAGTTATGCTGAACTTCTAATGAATTTTTAATGACTTCGTACAGTAGAGAGACAATTTCATGTACTGATTCATGCTGCTTGTGCTTATGACGATTTTTTCTCATCTCCAAGTGGAATGGAAAGGTCAGGTCTTCCACTCGCACATACAATAATCCAAGTATGCAGTAAATGTGCACTCCTCTTTCAAGGGGGGACTGTCTTACTTTGCAGCCTACCCCGGTGTGCCGACATACCATAAATAAGTTAATTTATGTTTCATGGCATTGCTAACGTAAATCCTCCTACGTAAGCTAGTACTCTGCATCTGCCCTAGTGAAAAATCATCACTAACATGACTGATTCTCAGTTCAGCACAACTCTCCTTTTTAAATAGGAGAGAAAATGCCACTATTAATAGCAGAGCTGTCAAGACTGCATCATCTGAAAGACTCAGAGTGTTTCAAGACAAAGCCAGATTGTCATTCTCTTACTGCAGCTTGCAGAGGGGGAAAAAAGTCTGATTATTGAAAGTGAGATAGTTTAAAAGAAAACTTACTTAAAACTTATACACTGCATCAGGTAAGAAGGGCTGATGTGATTTTGTGGAGATTTATTTTGAAAAGCAACAGTTTCTTGTACTGGTGAGTGGCTCCATTTGCTCTGCACTTATTAGCGATTCATCTCTACTGAAATAAATCTGAGAGTTGTTCCTGGTCGCACAGTATCTTCTACAAACAGATGTCTGTGCTTTTTATAAAATGTTAGGGTGGGGAAGATGGGTGGAGAGATGATTTCTGTACTCTCACAGCAACATTTAGTAAATCAGAAACAGCATTTCTACACCAATCTAATTCTTTAATCTTTTTCCCTCACAGCAGCATGCAGCGAGGCCTCATGTTGCACTTGCAGTAGCAGTGTACTCAGGACCTGTCTGTAAGGAGTCATATGCAGTAAGACAGGATACGAATTTACAGCGCAAAGAGACACTCCAAGTAAGCACCACAGCTTTCCTTTCAGCAAAATTTTTTGTTCTGCTGTGAGGAAGAATGAGTCCACACATTATTCTGGTGGTGATGGTGGTATGTATACCTCTCAGCAATATATTTGAGAGCTGAATACCTTTTCGTAGGTGACTTCTTATAGCCAGTTACTTTCGAGAATGATCATAGCAGGAAGCAACGGGTGACTTGGGTTACCAAGAAGGAAGAACGTAAGTAGCGCTATTGCATATTATTTACCATTAGCACTGTCTAGAGCTCTTGTAAGCAACATTGATTGCTTACAATTGAAGGAGAATTCTGCTTTCGGTTATGTTTCTGGAAACAGATTCCAGAAGAGATAAGAAAAAATTATCATGAATTTAAAACTCCTTTTGTATTCAAGGGTGAATTGTTGAACACAAGCCAGTAGGCACCACGCAGTTCAACTCTGCAAACTGTAAGTAGCAATGGCATTAGGAACTGTAACTCATAAATCGCTGTGCTGCTGATTCTGACTTTTCCGACGTAAACATGGGTTTTATTCCCATTCTTATTTTTACTGGGAGATCCCCAGCTTCAGGAACGGATTCAGCACAAAGTCTGCTGAGCTCGTTCTCAGAACCGTCGTTAGCATCAGCCCTTTGCGGCGACACCATTGTTTTCCAGTGGTGTGAGCTGAGCGGTTTAATACATCATAACAAGGGCATTAAGATTTTCTTAACTATCCAAATGATTTTTTTCCATTTGCTGGTCAGTTCCATGGACCGCCCCCCTCCATTTCTGAATCATGCAAGTGTTTTTTCCACAAGAGAGAAATGATTAACTTGTTCCCATTACCTCTCCTGCTGCTGCTTCCACCTTTCTTCAACAGAGATAACATCAGTTTTGGGGTGAACAGGAAGAGCTTTTTGAGTTTTTATCAGTGCAGAAACAATCCATGCCAAGTAGGAGTAACAAACAAAGTTACGGTAGCAAACACATATTTGATAAAACAATATTTGAACACAGATATCCACAGCTTAAGTGTTACCAGTAGCAAATTACAACTCGACTCACTGGAAAATGCAAACATTGTAGTATTCACCACCATAGCACCAAACAAGGCATACTGTGAAGAGTATATTATGGCCAAAATTTTCAGACTTTGGCACCCCAATGTAAAAAATTAGGGAACTACGAAGGTTCCTAATCATAGGTGTCTGGTGCAATTTCATACTCCAGGTGCTGTCCCACCCAGTCTGCTGTTGCTAGGACTGTGTCCTATTTGCCAAGCCTGCACGTTTCTGTCCTGGATATCCTCGGGCATCGAAAATGACAGTAGACAACTATGTTTAGGAACAGGGCTTATTCCTCTAATTTCAGGTTTGGCTATTTGAACACAAGGCATTTGGGTTTTTTCACAGGTGGTGACACTATTCATGAAGTCTTTTTAATCCTTTACTTTTGTTTTGATGATTGGTTCAGATCTATTTTTAAAAAATAAAAAGCCAATAAAAATGTTATAAAAATGAAGGAATTTGTTCAGCTCTTATAAAGCATTATGCTCAGCCCAAGATATAACAAGTTTAAGCAGTGGCGCATGCACCGTTCTGTTTCAGTACTGGCAATATTTACATTATTGCATATTAATACTGCTGTTGTTATGATTTCTAGTTTACTGAGAAAATTGAAATGTGCTCATTTCGGATCAATCCCCAAAGTTTTTCTTCTCTATTTTGACACAGCAGGCAAACTAAACCATGAGTTATTCACGTGCTTCTAGTTCTTGGTAACTGAGCAACAGTGTAATTTACTGGAGACAGCTACCTTGCACTGCAGAATGGCATCTGGTAAAGTACATGCAACAGGTAATATAGCTCTTTGTGACTCTCACAAATGGAAAAGAGATATCCATATGTGTGTCATTAATGTTCTCAAGCTAATGTGGAATTCAGAAATTAAAAAACAGCCAGGAGAGTGGGGGAACAGCTGTCCAGCAGGTGCCAAGAGTAGCCTAAGAAAAAGGCAGGTCTGAGAAAGAGACGGAGACATCTTACATGTTAGGCAACTGAAGACCTAAAAAGAAGTTAAGGCACCCATGATGGAATTAATTTCACGTATATTTAGACACCTCCTCTGTAAACACCAAGCTAGTCACCCAAGGCTGCTTTTATAGTCAATGAGGAGAAACAGGCACAAAATATCTGAGCTATTTTAGACTCCTACATTAAAAACGTGCACAAGAATGCTCTCTCCATTTGTCTCATTTAATCAGATGAATACCACTCCCCAGTACATAAAAGCAGCTGACAATCGAGGTGAAACTGGTCCCTTTTCCTCTGCTGCCAGTATGTTACAGCGCAGTGCATGTTCATCATCTTGCAAATCAAGATATTTAAGAAGGCAGTCTCTAGAAGGAACTGGGGCATTGGCATTTTGTATCCTCTGGATTCTTTGCATACTTCAATTTTAGTGTTCTCGCACCTTCATATAGGTACAACATTTTAGATAGATCTTCATACATGGACTTAAATAACATTATGAATATGTAAATGTATCATATTTTAACTACTCAGGATAAAATTTGTCTTTCTTTTTTTTTTACTCGGAATCCTTAATTTCTGCATATTGTCAGCTTCGGGCTGATAATATTTGCTATGCACGATAATTAAATTATTTTTGAGACCAAGCTTTGTTAGTGACAAACGCAGTTTTCTAGCCATTTCTTTGAATGGTAGTAACAGCGTAGTACTTCGTGCCAGGTTCTTGAAAGGTGAGTTGTGAATACTCCTCGTGTCAGACAGCTTCTATGATTGCATAATCCTCTGCCTCTGGAAAACCATCACTTCTGCTTAAGAGAAACTTTTAACACAAGCAGTCATATCTTAATTTTCTCAATATTACATCTGAACTTCAATAGCTGGATAGACTTCTTGTTGAGTCTACCAAAAGGTTGTATGGCCCAGGAGGGAATGCAAATGGCCCTGGGACATCATGATCCCAGTGTCACTTCTATAACGCACCCAAGAATCAGCCTTTCTCTTCTTCCCCCAAAGCAATGAAACTCCCCAAGGCCACTTTCGGAAGTGCTGGAATTAGAACTTGGGACCAATATTTCTTAGAAAAACCTGTTCGCACTTGTCTCATGTCAGCCCCTAGCTTGCTTCAAGCACTATACAGCATGCTTACCTTAAAACATAACTGCTCCTGAATACTCAGTCCGATCTTTTAACATCTCCAACCCAACTTGTAGCTTATCTATCCAATGCCTCACAGAAGCTGAGAAAACCTGAGCTTGCTTTTTCACAAGAACTGAGCACACGCACCTCTTCTGAGTGTCAAATGGACCTGCAAATCTTACTACCCTCGAAGAATTGCACCAAAGCTTTCAAGTTCAATATTCAGGCTATGAGGTACCACTTGCCAGATTATTAGCATGATTATCTTTTTGGCACAATTCTATCTCTGCAAATCATGTCTTCATTTCAGGGAACCCTTCACATGATACTACGACAATAACAACAGAAAACTCTTCCTTATGAACAGTTGAATTTACTTCAAAGTGGTGTACAGTGCATAATGTCATGGTGAAGATTAAAGGAAACTATACTTACTTCTTTCATCCTCGGACTGTCAATCCAGGGCAGTAAGATGGGAACCTATGGCAAAAGTAGTGTAGTATAGCATATTAAAAACAGAGAGCAAAATATTCGGAAGCAATATCCCTTAAAACAAACAAACAAAAAGATTTTGTTACTTGCTAAAATGTATTGACAGGCAAGTTCTCTAGTGAGCTGTTGCGTCAGTTTAAGAGGTTACTGTCCCCGGTCAGGTATTCCTTCTGTCTTCAACCCAAGTAGCAGAGATGCCTAAAGAGAACCAGCACTTGAACTGTGGCCATTTCAGTGCAAAACCTGCTGTTACAGACTAAACTGGCAGTGAAGGAGGCTTTCAGCTAGGGCAATGTGCTCGGTACTGAAGAAGTTATGAATGCATTCACGTCCTATGGGGATGCAAAAGATGTATAGGATGACTTCTTACCACAGCAAATTTTGCCTAAGCTTTTGTGTCAACATCTTAACCTCCATAAGTAATTGAAAGACCAGTTTTTCAAAGGCATTTGGGCACCTAAGGATGCAAACAGGCAACTAATGAGACTTAAGAAAAAACGCAATTTGTCTAATCCCCACTGAAATCAGGACCCTTGGAAAAGGGTCCAAATCTGTGTCTGAAAACCTGCAACAAGAAATTTATTACCATTGGATTTAGCCTCTGAAAAGCTATGTTTTGATTATATTTCCCTCAACCATATTCTATGCACAGTAGAGAAATGAATTTGCACAAGCAGCCTTTACTCTGACATTTCGTAGCTTTTTAATACTAGTCTTTGCCTTAAGAATATTAATTGATACAATTTTCGTGCATGAAACAAAGAATCTACCACGTTAAGAAAACAAAAGATTTTGCCTTAATAATGATAAGAGTTTCATTCATACTTACACTTTACTGAAAAACTTACAATTTCTACCTTATTTCCCTGAATGATCATCCTATCAGTCAACTTGAACCATTTTCTCTTTTTTTCTCATGCTTCATGCAGCTTTTATCCCTTCACATATTTTTTTTTGTTGTGAACATTACACACTTCTATAACAAACCTCAACAATGTTAACTATCCTATCTTTTCTAATACATCTGTTTTCTTACATTTCAATTACTTGTGATCTGGCATTTGATTTACTCTTGCTTTCTTTATAACTTTTGTTACCTCATTTAGCCCTTGAAAACACCCACAGGGAATATTACCTCAGCATCTTATCAGAACTGTAAAATTGCGGCTACAGTTCTGATGTGCAATATGCTATTACAGTATCTTCATGAGGGCATCCTGCATATACTAGGTTAATATTTACTGATGTGCTAATGTAATAATGACCCGCCTGCCTCTGCTCTCTCTGGGGCACTTTCTATCTATAGGGATGGGAATTAATGACAGTCTCTCTGTGCTGCCTGATGTCAGAGCTGAGAAAGGTGTGAAGGGTATATAAGAGCTGTATTACTTGCCAGCAAGGAAGGGGAAAACGGATACTCCAGATACTGCCAGATGCAAGCGTGGAATTGTTGCATGCACCCTTCTTGCTAACGCAGGAGTGCCTCTTCCGATAGCTCCCTGACCACTAAAAGGTAAACAATTTCCCTTCTTCCCTTATTTAAGATACCATGCAACACCAGTGCTTTCAGGAAAGCGTAATCTTTCTCGTTATTAATCAGCAGTATTTTTCAGGAAAAGGCTAAAATAACTTCAAGATAAATTGCACCTGTGACCAGAATCTGAGATTCAGGACATACCCCAGAGATATGGGAAAGGATTGAGACTACTAGATGGAAAATGAGCATTTGCTGTTGAGAGCTATCTGTCTGAAACTGCATTGTGTCACTAAACTTAGGGGGATTATGCTCTCACCCTAACGTATGAAAGCAATTCGCTGCTGTTGATTTAGGACAGAACGGGCATCGGTAATAAGATATGCTCAAGAGTATTTGGGATTGCTTTCAGTTTTGATTCTTTATTCTTTCCAGAAATTTTGGAAGAAAAGATGTACAACCTAAAGCTGTCAGTTGTCTTCATTGTACTTTCTGTCACGTTGAGCTGTCTGGAAGCTACACCTGTTGAGAAGTGAGTTATAAATAATTGCATTTATTTATTTTTAAGGGAAAATATAGTCAGATTGTTGCATGAATTGCTTTTGCTTTCATGTCTCAAATGATATGAGCAAAAATAGAGCTATCCAATCTCACAGTATATTTTATGATTGTTTAAAGATTATTATCTGTGGCTGATGATCTATCTGATGGGACTTCCAAGAGACAAGGATGGATATTGCCAGTAATGTCAAGGAATGCAGTCTCAGGACTTAGTGAGGCAATGCCAGAACAAGCAGCAGCAAAGCCAAAAAGGTATTTATTTACTCTCTGTTCTTCTAGTTAGGATTAAATTACGAAGTAAACTCTGTGCCAGTGAAATTCTGTTCCTTCAGACTCTTGCTGTTCAACTCTCAAACAGAGCTTAAAATACTTTTTCTTTGGTGGAAATAAAGCCATTCTGTAAACATAAAGATCAGTTTAGAAAGTGAAATCCAGAGACAAAAGTTACAGATCATCAATCAGTTTACAAGATCCATTATAATCTTTTCATAAAGGAAAAAGCCTATCAATACTACAGTACCTTGCAAAGAAAGGTTTATTTTGAAAGACTTTTTTATTTGTGACATTTCCAAGCCTGAAGGGAAAAAAATAGAAAATATGTCTTTCTGAATAACACAGAAGCTCTACTAGAATATAATTCTTTTGAAATGTAACTATTTGCTGTAAGTAAAGTATGTTTCATAACAGATTTAAATATCAATTTAATAATGAGAAAAATAAAAAAAAGAATTTGGCTCTCATTGAATTTAGCTAGTATGAAACGCATTTAAGTTTATAAATCCACACATGCCATTTATAGGTAACTTTTTGATGAATAAAGTAGCATTTCAAAAAGTATTTGGAGCTAGTACCAAATGATAGGCAGAGCTGAATGATAAATCTGTATAGTATTTCAGGCTTATGAGTGATTTTCTTTAATGACAACTTTGTTATGGATAGATTCAGTGAACATCTCTCTGTATAGTCACCTCTGATCTGTATTTCTCACTCTCTGTTCGAAAAATCATTATTATATGACAATTTGGTTATCTTCCTAAATAATTGGATTGTGGAGACAAAGTTGCAGCATTTTTATAGCTGTTACTTTTAAAAACTAAAATAATAATTATTACAATAATCAAATGCAAGGCATTGCCTTTATGAGCATGGCATGCCGTACCTGCTTTTCTGTGGCCCTTGCTTATAGTCTTTTACTGGGTCCCACTGAAGCCCATATTCAAATAAAGGCTACAGATCAGGGAGCTTACAGCTATAACCAGTTCAGTTGGACTAGACATCAGTTAGAAACCTAGTAACTTACTATAAAGACTGGAGTTTTTAACTTGGAGTGCCAGGGCATGATTTGGTACCTTTAAAGAGAAGGAGTACTCTGCCCCCTCAAAGAGACTGAGAATTCCTTGAGAACCTGTTGGTGTTCGAACCTCCAATGTTAAGGGCTTGATTCCACTCTTCTTAATCAACAGAAATACCAGCGGAAGCCTACAAAGAACCATATCAAGCTCTATACAGCCATTTACTTTAAATATAGTTATATATTTAAAATATTAATTGCTTTGAAATCCCTACCCGTTTGCCGGCAAAGAAACAGTGTAATTCAGATGTTTCTCTCATAATTGTCATTCGATTTGGCCACATCAACACAATCGTGCCACATCAACATGAAGAAGGCTAGGAAAATCCCTGACAACTCAGTAAGCAACCTGAACAATGAGAGTATGTCTGTCTTACAGAACAGTATAGCGGTCTAAGACACAAGTTTGAAAACGCAGGTTCTCTCAAGCTGAGCATTTTATTATGATTTTGAAAAATCCTCATGCTACATAAGTTCTGTACAGAATTCTGTAAATGGTCTACTGGCTCAAACCATTAAATGCTGGCAGTGCCTGCCACCTCTCCTGATAGGTGGCAGAGTTGCAGAGAGTCTTTGGGCTCATCTATTTGATGTGATTTGGAAGATTACTGTTCACTTCAATGAGAGCAGGATGTGATTCTGTGGGAATAAGAGAACTAAATAAATGATAGTGATTGTCATTATGTTAGTAATCCTCATGATATCACCAAGAGCTCTAAATAGATTTAGAAGTTCAGCTGAAAGCTAAACATTTAGTCATTGTTTCCACTTACTGTCTTAACTATACTATCATTACAGGTTTTCTAGATGTCATAAACTGCTATGCAGAATATCAATAAAAATGACATATGACTCTTAAGGTCTTTGCATTTAAATAATCCCCATCATTAAAACTGATAATAGCATAAAGCACAAGATTTTTTCAGGTACAAAGTAGGTGGTAGGAAGATTGTAATGTTCATGTATTTGTGCTCATATTAAAAGAACTCCCACTTTAACACAGCTCAAATGCCTTTTAGAAGTGGCGTATTTTATTGCTCACCATGTGACTTCATCTTGGCTCTTTTTGTCTTATATTGGTAGTCACCATCTGGAGAAACGGAAATGCAACACCGCCACATGTGTGACACAACGCTTGGCTGACTTTTTAGTTCGTTCCAGCAACAACATTGGAGCGATTTATTCACCTACCAATGTGGGGTCCAATACATATGGAAAGAGGGACACAGCTGGGCTTTTAAGCAGAGAACCCCAAAACAATGCACAGCTCTAGTGTGTTAAAATGACTACTGATACAGTTTTCATTAGGAGCTCCCGCCCACTTCTTATGTCTCAGTAACCTTTTGGTCATGTATTACTTGTACAGTCTTAACAGTGCCTTGTTTTCTTTGCGTGTGTGTATGTGTATGATTTTTATGTTCATTATTTCATTATGTATGTACAAGGACTTGCCCAAGCTATTGTTTTAACTTCATTAAGAAGTCCAGAAATCTGCTTGTCAAATTCCTTTGTAAAAAGAAAATAAATCACAATAATAAATGGAAATGTAATTGCAACAGGGTTTTTTTTTTAATTAAAAAGATGAAAAAGATAACCATGATGTGTATGTCTTTATAGTCACAGTTCAGTAAGAGAAAAGCAACCATCTTAATGAAGAAGATCAACAAAAATCAGACTGCTAACAGAAGTTATGTCCTGATGTAAGTGAAACAGAAGAATCTTCTGGTTTGGAAATGTCTGCAGTGTCCTGTTTTGCCCAGTTCAAGGAACAACTAGAAGAGATACTATGGCTGCACTGCATAGTTGATTAGACCGTTTGACTGAACGGTCTCTTTCCACCCTAAAGTGCACTAAACTAGTAGAAGTGGTCTTGCAGTACAGATTTCATTAGATACTTATTAGGCAATTTTGAGAATTTACAGTTCTTACTTTAAGACAGTATCAGTTAAATGTAAGCATCATGAGCATAAGTGCATTTTAAATATGAATAAAAGAAAGCTCATTTAACAAGTTCTCAGAAACATCTTTCTTTGGGCATTCCTTTCTTTGAACTAGTGTAATAAAAGGAAGGGACAAAATCATATTAGCAGTTCAGATACCAAAATGTATGATAGAAGCAGGGTAAATTTGCCTGCCAACACACTTACATTGTTATCAACAACCAAGAAAATTAGTTCAGAGATGGGTGGACCCTAATGGAAGTTTGGCAGTTTCATCTTCTCCTACCTCAGCCCGGTATCAGTGAAGGCTTAGTAAACGTGTTTATTCTTCTAAAATGTTAAGTGAACTTTACTCAAAAACACCATCCTGTTGCAGCAATGGTTGTTCTGTTCATCATTCTTGGTGAAGAACTATCATCTGAAAAACATGACTGTCCAATCATGAAAAACATTTAGCAGAAGTTTACTGCTGGAGAAGCAAATTAAATGTTAACAGTCTTCATTGGCTGATTTGTTTCTCTTATAAAGAATGCCTCAAACCGTAAACTTCTCTGCTAATTTTAAAGTTAAATGCCACTTTCTCTTCATTTTCCAAATTATAAATGGCAATAAAATTAAAGAATAAATTTTCTGCTTTTAAATTGTTAATGATTACTCTGTTCAGAAAAGTTTCAATCTTACATCAACTTCTAATGGTTATTTATTATAAAACTTATTGAGAAAACGATTCAGATGGTATTAAACTTGTCTAATATTTCTACCAATTGGCAATACTTTGTCTTCAGGTTATTTACGAGATACCTTATGTACCCATTGTAGGTTTAATTTGTTTTTCAGCCAGAATATTTACTTTCTAGAAAACAAATGAGAAAATGACTGAATATTTCCAAGGTGTCCTTATCACAGTGTTTGCACCGAAGAGTAACCACATGGAAAATTCACTGCAGATGGATGCTTATTTCAAGGCTAATCTCAATCTGAAACATGTACAATGTTTTATGCATCAATGTTGGCTCTTTAAGTTGCCATTTGATAATCAAAACAGAGCACAGACTGTCTACATGCAGGTTCACTGGAACTGTAAACATTACTCTCTGACCCATGATTATGATCACAGAATCACAGAATCGTTTAGGTTGGAAGGGACCTCTGGAGATCATCTAGTCCAACCTCCCTGCTCAAGCAGGGTCACCTAGAGCATATTTCCCAGGATCACATTCAATACTAACATCTGTTTGGCATCTGTTTGTTCTATTTGGCAAAATACTGAAAAATGTTCTTCATCTCCCAGATCAGCAAACCAACAAATAGGGATAACAGATACATCGGTAGTTATTGACTAGCCAGTTGTCAACACACTCCTGTTATTTAGTGGAGAAAGACAGCTACTGCCAATTCGTTCCAGCTTAGGCATCTACTTTAGGATGGGATGAATCACACTCTTGAAGTGCCTCTGTTTCTTCTCTGATTATAGAGGGTGTCCAGACAATTAGCTGAAAATGCGAACTTAACTTTACGATGGCTAGAGTTAGGTGATTGGTATGAATTGTTCAGTTGGTATGAATTGTTCAACCTGAAAACAGTCTGGTAAAATAAAAAAAAAAACAAAACCAAAATTCAGTCTCCAAATCATCAGGGTAACCAATTCTCATATTCTTGCAGCTAAGTAAAAAAAAAAAAAAAAAGTTTTGAAATAAATCAGCAAGTTCATCAGCTGGAGCATCGATCTTGAGAAACTGCCTACACTGAGTTGCTTCCCTGTGTATACCCTTGAGAACACAATTCTGCTACTCTTCCTCCTACTGCGCAGTTACACCACAGACTGCACTTAGAAAAGAAGGATCTAGTCATAGTAAACCTGGATACAAGCATAATCCTTAAAAAATGAGAAAGGAAAAGAGGTTTTTTTTTTAATAAATACAAACAAGTATTTAAACATTAACTCATCAGAACCTCTAACAGCATAACTACATCTATTTCAGAATATGAAGACTGCTAGATGAAGCCTAATTAAACAATAAAAATTAAGTGCCTCTAGGCACTTTTGAAAATCCCAGTATGTATGTATTTATCCCTGCATCTTTAGGGACCTAAATATTTTTTGAGAATCAGATCTTACATAGCTTCAATTCACTTTGAATTCAGCTGGATGTCCTTTATCTTTCAGAGAAGATCTGAGAAAGTAAAAAATAAAAAAGAGGAAAATGAAGAATATAAAAAATATGATAACTGTCGTTGTTTTCCCTTTAAAAATAAAAATGTTAAACCTCTGCTTTTTAGTGGCTTCTAAAGTTGTCTTTAAAAGGAACAGATTAGGGACATAATATTGAATTTTGCTAGATGAGAGAGGGAAGAATAAAAGTCATCAAACAAGCAAAAGGAATGTTAAAAAAAAAAGATGATAGGAACATGAAGGATGCATTAAACAGAGTAGTGGGCCCTAGGGTCTAATATTTCTCAGGAACTGTGACAGTTTCACAAAAGACAGAATTTATATTTTTTCATGATTAATATAGCTGAGGTAAGAAATTGATTTCACTTTAAAAGGCTTGGACTAAAACTAAGAAAGCATACAATATTCGTGCAGCAGAAAGTGCGCTTTTATTGAATAGTCACCTTTGAATGAATATTTTCAATTTCCATTAAGAAAAATAAATATTTCTTCAGATAAGTAAGAGTCTTTGCCATTAGGCTAGGAAAGCTTCCATTCACTTTCTTTTACTGAATGGCTTTCTAAAAATATTTGAAAGTTAGCACATTGATACTATGAATAAAATCCATTTCCTGTAATGCGTCATTGAATATCTTCAGTAGCTGCCATCTTTGCTTTCTAGAGTTACGCTGGTTTTGAGTAAATTAGTTCACTTACAAATATAGCTTGACATTTACAGTAGAGTCCTTTTGTTGACAGCAATAAGGTTAAGTAATTTTGTTGTCCAGCTTCATTATCATATAGAAAAAGGACAGCTATACGTTGCTTTTTGCAATGCTACTAGCAAAAAGCTGTGTTTAGGCATGATACATCTCCTTGCTGCACACAGAATATAAAAATAATGGTTAAAGTAACATGAAATAGAATCTTTCTATAGGATATGACAACTTGAAATTTCAATCGTTATCTCCTTTTTTCCACATATGAAAAAAATCATACTGAAAAATAAAACGTATTTGAATATTCTTGTGGAGCTGAGTATGCTTCAGTAATCAGACTCAAACCCAGATCTGAAACCCATTGTTCAAACTAAGCTTCAAGACCACAAAATATGGATTCTCTATTGATCAGTTTTTCTAAAAACTTAAGGTAAATTGGCTTCCAGCTTCCATTATTATGAAAACTATATATCATGAATTAGCTTCATTTAAGAAGTGTTTAACTAGAAACTATCTTCATATCAAATGTTAAAAATTTTGTTCTCAAGCTTGGAATTTACATTATACGTGCCATCAAAAGCTGAAATCCATGCTATCACATGAGCTTCAGAAGCTGGCAAAGATTGAGACAATGGAGATGATAAGACAATAGTTAAAACTGCTTTTCATTAAGGAACACATTTTCTCCTTGAAGGTTAAAAAATCTGAACAAAAAAATACATTTATATGCCTTTTAATTCTAACAATAGGGCTGATTTGAGTAACAATCATGCCATAAAGTCACTATTTCCAAAAATGCTTTATAAATCCAAATTCAGTTTAATTATTTAAATTAAGGATCTTTGACCTGCATCTATTTGAATAACACTTCTTGCCTCAATGTTAAAAGGCTCTTTTGGATCCAGCACCAAAGATGGTGAAACTGTTTCTCATAGCCTATCTTGCAATAACCTTAATATAAATAATTGCTCCACAGGCAGCCTGAGACCTGCTTCAGAACAACTGACTACACCTTGGGTGACAGAACCTGGAACTACCTGAATTATTTTGGCCCCAATTTTTCATTAGTGCATCATCTCTGCAGAGTGTTTTTTTCAAAAGTAATTAAATGAGTGGTACATAATAAAATAACTGGAGTTCTATTAAATAGATTGTGAATTGAAATAGCTGGAATCATTTTGGAATGAAATGCTACTTAATATGAATACCAGGATTTGCTTATTATTTACACTGCTAACAGAGCCAGATCACTTTATTCATGGAGAGTCATACCTTATTTAATAAGCAGTCTCTTTGGAAGAGGTTAAAGTGGGATTTCCCTCCACTCAAGGAGTTGTACAAAAATTTACTCAGCCTAAATAAAGTTATTATCAGTCCAGTGCTAAATAAGCTAAGCTACTTAACTCTCAGAATGTGGGTCATTTTTAAGTACTATTCTTGGACTAGCTGTTGTTCATTACTCGTGTTGCATATGGAAATAGTCACATAACAGATTTTTTTTTCTCCTCTATTTATCAGCACTTCGAGAGAAAATAGAAAGCTGGTTTTGAATTTTTTTTAGAGAGGAAAGGAAGGAGGGGGTCATAAAAACTGGAGGAGGAAGAGACATCATTTCAAGGTTGCAAAATACTTCAATTCTGTCAAAAATACTTTAAACATTTTCCAGAATGAGTAAGCAACTGGCAGCCATTTTTTATTTCTAATATTTCTGCGGTGTTACAGGAAAACTAAAATTCTGGGACAGTACATTCTTTCTTTTGCAGAAAATATAGATTTGAAACAGTCCATACGAATGGGAGAGGTTCGAGTGGATATTAGGATGTCTCACTGGTCCAAGCACTGCTCCCTCTCAGAAGTGACCACCTCCTCTGTCACTGAAATTTCCAAGTCTCCAGAGAGAGCTATTTGGGCCAGCATGTTCTGGTGGCCATATCCTGGGCTTCCCTCTGGAAGTCACTGACTTCTTAACCAGTCTCAAAAATCAGGCTGGCTCCGCAGCACTTGGTGCTTTGAGCAACATATTGCAGCACCTCCCTCGGTTTGTTTCTGCTAAATAGGGTTCAAATGTACTGCAGGTTCCCAGGAGCAATAATCAATGCTGCTGGCAACCGCAGCCAGAGGTGTGAGTGTGCACACAGAGCTAGTGGGGACCCACGTCAAGGGAAGCAAGGATGCCGGAGGCTCAGCTGCACCTCTTTTGGGGTGGAGGCACCACTCCTAGACCACAGGCAGGATTTTCAATGGAGTACTTGTCAACAGAGTACCTTTATTAATTCTAACAATCTCAAGAGAGACCTTACTGCATCCCTAGAAGACTATGGTATGCATGTTCTCAGGTTCCATTCAAGCAGATATGAGAAGAATACTACTGCATTTTTCCTGTCCCTCATGGGATACTGAACTAAATGCATGAGTCCAGTGGCCGTCTTGCTGCATGTCACTACCTTTTCTACACAATGATGTGGCTGGTACTGCCCCAGAACCATTTGCAAAGATATTGCCTCAGAGGTCGTCATAATCAGGGCTTATGTTGCAGAATTTCCCATCAGGTTTTCTGGCAAGATTGCTCCCACAAGAAGGGAGGTTCCATCTCTCACGCCAAGGTGAGACAAAGGAGACCGCTGCCTGCAATCATTTCCCACATTCCTATCGGAGCTTCCAGGCTGCAGCTTTAGGAATTGCTTGAACTGGTAGTCCTACCAGAGACAAACCTTTTTCTTTTTTAGAAATTGTTACTTTCCAAACCTGGCTTTCTTGTTTTGTTTTGTTTTCTGTTGGGAAAGCTAGAAAAATCAAGGAATAACTGTTGCTTTGCAAAACAATACAGCATGGTCAGCATAACCAGTCAGAAGAAGATAATTCCTGAATGTTTTGCAAGGCTGCAGACAGATATGGCTTCAAACAAACAACAAATTCTTCATCACAAGGGGAGGGTGACTTGAATATATGACCAAGTGGCTATGCAAAAACAGTGTGGATTCATCCAGTGAAGAAACACACAAGCCAACATGGGACAGAAGCAGATTTTTCCAACATTAAGGTAAAAACAAAACCTTGAAACAAAATGGTCAATCCAGTTTTGCTGAGCTGCTTAAAAAAAATCTTGCCCAAAAGCTACAAAGATTGTTGAAGGCCTGTATCAAAGTTTTCAACCTTAATGAATCTGTACTTTTCTTCAAAAATATTCCACTACATATTCAGGTAACTCTCTATTTTTTATTAAATTGGCAGTCTAAGGGCACATCTCATTTCTGATGTGCTTTTTCAGAAAACTATCATTCATGTTAAAAATCATTATTCAGTCTGGCAGTACAAAATTTGGCTAGAATAAAAAACACTGGTAAACTAGGAAATAACTCCCGAGTCAACTTCAGACCCTTGTAAAAGAGTGAGTGAACAACATTTGGATTTGGAGTTTCAGTTCACCTACATTGCTGATAAGAGCAGACCTGAAACTTTGAAGAAGTTCTGAAGCAAGTCAGCAGCAATGAGCCTTGGGGTAGATATCGTTTCAGTGACTCCTCTGTGTGTGTGTGTGTGTGTGTGTGTGTGTGTGTGTGTGTGTTTGAGAGAGAGCGAGCGAGCGAGCGCGTCTGTGTGTGAGTGAGTGAGTATGCGTGTGTGTGTCTACGCACGTGTGCAAACACAGCACAGGTTAAAAATCTGCAGCTTTATGCAAATAGGAGCTTCCTCTTTGGTTTTCCTTTCTGGGATAACACACTGCAGTTCCCAGTTTCTGCTGAGTTTCAATTGATTAATCCAACTGTTTATTATTAATATGATTATTGCTGGAATTAATAATGGTACTCCATTGACAAGCAGTGCATTGAAATCAGCACACAAGTTTAATAAAATGCTCTGAGAACTGGGAAGAATGAGATAAATAGCATAAATCATCACTATTCCTTATGTTTATTGACCTTGCAGGTAAAGTAGGAAAAAATTAAGGCTAGTATGCTGGCACACCAGTCAGGGGGAGGCATGTAATGAGCAGCCTTAGAGACAACAGCGAAAGAAGAAAACATTGAAGGTACAGAGCACAATATAAGTGACGGAGCTAACTTTTTGCATCTTCTGAGATCAAAATGCATCTTCAGAATTCACCCAGGCACAATATCAACTCAGCGCTTTAGTCTGACTCTCAGGATTAAAAGAGGATCATAAGCTTTGGATAGCTCTTCTAGACAGGGGTTAGTCTAATTCTAGAGGTGAAAATCTTGGTGTCATCATTTAATAACCATATTCAGCAACAGGTTTGACTAAAGCCTGCAGGATTTAGCCCACTGATACTGTATGTCTCTGGGAAGAATTAGAATTGTATATTTTTTAAGAAATTCTTTTCTGTGCCCTTTATTCATAAACGTAAGCAGGAGACTCCAGTGAAATCAAGCAATGGCCATAAATTTTACCGCTCACATATTACACTATATTTATTTATATATCCCCAAAGGGACCGGAGATTGGGTATCTGACTAATGCTAAGGTTATAAATTGCTCAGAGAAGAAATCTTAGCCTAACTGTGAACTTCCTCCTCCTCATCCAAACACATCCATCACATTCTAATAATTTCAAGTGCAGTTCTAATCAAAAGTGTTCTGAACCTTTTTTAATCCAGACATCTTCATTCAATGCATATTCACCAACAAAAATAAGATTATTTGGTTTGTTGAGTTTTATTACCATTAGAACTAGGCAACTAGCACACATCACTGTGACTGTAGCTTTTCTTCTGGTTTCTACATCCTACGGTATCTTTTTTCTCAAAGTTTGCCTAATAACATCTTAAAATTGTAATAATATAATAATAATAATCTTTAATACCTTAAATACAGATAATATAATTATGATCTTCAATAATGATAATATCCAATAACAAGAATCATTATACTACTAGACATAAAGAAAGCATGAACTTGCTTCATTCTTTTCCATTATTGTTAACTCTGAAACCTAATAAACACAGCTCATAAATGAACACTTCACTGCAGCTAGAAGCAGACAAGAAAGTAGACTGAATAGTTATAATGTTGATCCATCAACCTGCTGAGAAAGCCTTTTCATTAGGGCATCATGGTTTGATATTGCCACCAGCTTGGATTGTCAGAGTATTGTGGGTTTCCCCTTTGCAAACAGAGTAAGTGTGATGCTAAAAATCTATGGGAGCCTGAAGACATGCAATGAAGCCAGAATAATTTTTCAAAGCAAAACTGAATTTAGAGATCTGGATTAACAAAGTCAGGTACATCACATACCAGATGAGGCTTAAATACAAGGTAAGTCCCAATAAAGCCGAAGTGCACATGCAAAATGTGAAAGTATGAACATTATTTGCAAGGATATATAGGCTTTGTGTCTCTCATTACCACAGGTGTGTCATCCCTCAAGGAGCTGCAGGTGATAGTAGGAGCCTGTGTCTCTTCTTACTATAGGGAGGTATGTAAATAGCTATAAGTAGACTTTTTTTTTCTGGAAAAGTGTAGTAAACAGTGCCTCAGCTAATCCTAGCATGGCCATTCAAATCCTGGAAGATGATAGGTCTGGGTAGACCAGTATACAGGGATATCCATCTAAAAATTGTTCAGTCAATCACCATATTTAACTGATGCACTTACATTTCACACAAATATTTCAGCTGCTTAGTGGATAAGCAGTTGAATAAGAATAAAGCCTCTATTTCTGACCCTCTTGAGTTCTCTGCAGCCATAAAAAAAAAAATCACAAAACAGAGCAAGCTCTGTTCTTTGTTCTCCCACTTGTGAACCTAATCAAGAATCCAGTAAATATAATGAAGCAAAAGAAATACTGAATGTCTCAACTTCCTATGTTATTTACTAATCTTTCCCATTATATAGCAAATCTGTAACTTTGGCAGCCTTCTCAGGCTTCTACATGTTTACAGACCTTTTTTTCTGACTGCTTTTACATCCCCCATTAACTAATTCATTTTCTGCCTTAACCTTTTTTGCATCTACTTGTGTCAGTCCTTTATACATACACTCTTTAAGCCTGTGTCCTTTTTCCCCACCTTTTGTGTAATGCTTTTAATTTTCAGTGCATAAAGGGTAGAACAGTCCCACTGCACTTACCTTTCCTCCAGTTTGCAACAATTAGTATTACAGGCACATTACAGCAAATTCTTTTAGTAGCTTCAGCCTTCCCCTGCCTGCCAGCACACAGCTTTTTCCCTTAAAAATTGCTTTCCAAGAGATTTGATCTCCACATCTTGAGCTTACTGCAAGCTGTTTTCCTTCACTCCATTACTGTCATCCAATGCTCTCACTCCTTTTTCTTCTTAGAGAAGACAACTTAGGAACCTAGGAAGAGGTTATTCTTAGCAACATCCCTAGACATAGTCAAAAGATCTTATACCAACTAGTTCTGAATATAACGTGGCACATCCTAGAACTAAAGGTACTAAAAGGAATAGAAAGAGGAGGACTTTTATGAGGATAAAAGGAGTAAGTGCAAGTTCTCTCCCAAATCTTTTTTGAGCTAGAAGTCTTTCCGAACAGAAACATACAGAAGAAAATTGGGAACACAAATATACACCTCCTGGATAGGACATCTGAGATGAGATACAGTACTTGGGCAGGTCTCAGCAGCTCTGCTCCCTTTGAGCTCCCTTATCTTCCCTGAGCGTTAAAGAAAAGGAGAAGGTAGCTCTCAATCAACAGTAGGGCCAACCAGTTTCCATCACGCATGTTGTCTACAGACCTGACTGTGACCAAACAGGACGTGGCTGTGAGTTGAGAGGCAATGGAGGAGACAGAAGCTGAAAGAGGCAGTACAAATCCTAAAACAGTGGAGGCTTCCTATAGAGATGATGCCAGCCAGTAGTGTCCGTGGGATGATTCACAGCACAGATCAGGACTCAGTGAGGGAGAGGAAGAGACAGTGGCAAACGAAACACAACCCGAGATGTTTCTCTTTCCACACAACACGTAACACGTCAGAAGTCAAGACCTTTTATTCAGCCGCAAGATTCTTGCTTCAGCTCCATTATGAAAATCTCTTCCCCATACCTTCCTTTAGGTCCATGCCATGTCCTTAGCCCCCCTCACTCCATATCGCTTATCATGGCCATCTCCCAGAGATCTACAGATTCTCCCATCCTTACAAACTTTTAGTTTCCCAATATTGGCATGGTCCATGCTCTCCTGTCACTCCAGCCTCTTAGCCCCCACATCATTTAAAGGCTGAATTGCAGCACTCTTGCTATGCTGTATCTCAACACAAACAGGCTACTTACAGGTTGTAAATCTGTGCTGCCATCGGATAGTGCTGCCTATGGAGTCAGAAGAAAACAGAAGTGGCCAAACTGGCCGGCTGCTTGAATACAATTATACGGCTGAAGCCACACAAGAAAGACCACTATAACGCTTAGGAAAAATAATTTTACCAGTTTACTAGTGAGGCACAATTGATGCTGAGGAAGAGCATCAATTTTCACAAATGAGACTTGGCCATAACGAGACAGAGAAGGATTGCTCTGAGTCTAAGCTATGACAAGAATGTGAAAGCCACTTCTTATGGCAAGCCAGAAGGGACTCAGTGCCACCATCCTATCACTGCTACCAGAACCAGTCCCTTCCTCCCTTTCACCTCTACATCACCAGCGCACAGCCCATTCCTCACTGGCAAGCGACAAGCTATTGACTGCCATCCACACTCACCCTTGCTCCAGACGGCACCTGACAGACAAGCTAGAGCTGCCCCATCTGAGAGCTGTAGCCCTGCACCAAAGACTGACAGCCCCAGCGCTGCCCAGAGAATACTTCTTACTCCCCCTCCCAAATCCACCCTCTCCAACAGAGCAAGGGCCAAGTTCAGTGTTCAAGCTGCTTTTCTTTCTTTCAAAGAAAACTTAGAGAGAAAGCTGCTGCAAGCTCAAACACAGCCAAGTTTGTTTGCCCTTGAAAGGAAGTGGTCACATGCGGGGAATGACAAAGGAAGGAGAGAACTCCTGCGGAAAAATATTCACCCTAGTGTCTCTTTGAGCCTTTTCGATTCTTTGAGTCAAAAACTCTACAAGTTGGGCAGCAGGATACCACTGTAGCAATTCCTAGTTTTTGTATGTTTTTCTTTTTAACTTCAGCACAAATAAAGAAAACCCTAACATAAGAGCATACATACAGTCAAGGAGAAAGCACCACACTGATGAGCTGAAGTTAACTCTCATTACTATAATGTATAAAAAAGCCAAGGAGTCCCTCTATGCCATGCCAGAAATGCCTTGGGAATTGCCCTGGGAAGCGCAACTTCTATAAGCAACAGAGTCAACAAAGAAGACAAAGGTCTGTGCTTAACTACAAGCAAGTATTACAGAAACAGATATTGAGATCATGAATGAGTTCATACACACATACATATATGCATACATACATATATATGTACGTATATATGTATGTCAAACAGCAGTAACTCCCATAGCTGACTCCTGTAAGGCAGCAGAAGGGCATTTCTATACCATGAAAACAGGAAAACGGAGAATATCAAGACAACCTGCTTAGGGAGCAGGAGAAAAGTTTTCTCTTTGAAATCACCCCTGAAGTGGGGAATATCGACGTGAAGCCAGAGAAGCCTGGTTACCCACCTCTTTCACATAAAAACTTCAGCTGACAGCATTACTATAGGCTATAAAGGGAAGGGAAGGGAAGGTATAGCTTCATGCTATGAAGCTTCTGGCCAGAGAAAATTACCAGGTAGATGACAGAGCAAAGCATGCTGTCACTCACAGCATACTGTTCATCTGCACAGGTACAGAGATCCCTACTCTCCTTTGCCTCCTTCCTTCTCCCAGCTGAGCAGTTTGGAATTATGCTCCCTACTTCTGAGGACACAGGCCACAGGAGTCGGCATCGGGTCCGAGGGCCACCCTTTCAGCCTGAGTGATGAACCCCGCTCTGTGCGGGGTCACCAGCTTCAGCGCATGGTTGCCATGGGTCATGGTCAGCGTCTTTGTAACGAAAATGAGAAAGACAAATTCAGGAATCCTGGATCCACACTCTGGTAGCCAGCACATCCTGAAGCCCACATCTTCACTCTTACTGTAATCCATGCTAGCAAGATGCACAAATACAGGTATATGGAAGGCATTCTGTGAACAGATACATACACATGACTGTATTTCTCCTTTATAACAGTTCCTCATCTTGCACAGAACTTCTCCATTTTCCACTATCTTGTCAATCAACCAACCCCACCCAGAAATCAAGAAAACCATGCTACCCGGTACAGAGCTGCTAAGATGTTTTTGAACATGGGGTAGATCTTTATTACCACTGTGGCTCTGTTCTTCAAAGAGGTAGCATTCCAAAACGTCCTTTTTTTTTTTTCTTTTCAATTGAATTGATTCATTGAGTATGGTTTTCTGACTGAACTAAAAATATATTTAATGATAGATTGCACATAGATGAATAAATTAGCTCCCTAGATGAAAAGCCAACAACTAGAATCAATACAACTGGTTAATAAGAGTCAAGCTGTACTAAGTACAGTGTAAGCAATAACTCTACAAACATTCACAGCTCTGATGGCTACAGGTTTCAGGTGAACAGGGACCACTACAATTAGCGGCAAGGATGACTTGGGGGAGGAAGGGTAAGAAATAATGTTCCTACTGCTGTGAAATGCCTTAAGCCCCTGAGCAATATAATTACTGCAGTGACACTCCTTTGTTTTGTAAAATACTTAAAAAACAGCAAAACACTTTGAGAATAAGTCTTGGCAAAAGAAAAAAGAGCAGTGGAGAGCACTGAAGAGTCCTGTAACTCGATACCATGGTATGCATCATTCGTGTGGGATATGAGGAATGAAAATAAACCTTAAAATTATTTTTGTTTGTAGCTTACATCACATGTAGAAAAAACAGGGAAGGGGGAAAAACACTAGGCAATGTTAATAGATATTACAGTACTTAACTAAAAAAAATCATATGAAAAGTAGGTGAGCTGGACAAAGAAGAAATTAATGTAGGAGAGAGAGAGGAAGAGAGGGAGGCGGAGGGAAGGAGACAGAAGGAGGGGGAGAGGGAGGAAAGAAAGGAAGAAGAGAGAGAAAGAAGGGCAGCAGGGGAGAAGGAGGGGGGAAAGGGAGGGTAGAAGGAAAAGAAAATAAGCTGATGTTGACGATTTTAATATAATTCTTCAGCACGTAGTTTGGAGAACAGAAGAATACCCAAGAGACTCTTTAACTCAATACCTTGGGAAGAGGTTTGAAAAAGTTAGAATGGAAGAGACATGCAGGGGATTTAGAAAGTGCTGATGAACAAAAAGAAAGCTCATGAACAATAAACTGAGGCAAAGAAATGCACTCACATAGACCACACTAAGCTGTGGAAACCAGAAGAAAGAATGGACAGGGACAAGTCTCCAACCAGACAAGGTTCTAAAATAATTTCTACCATGCCACCGAGTACTTATTCCTCTGCAAATATAAATAGTGATGTTGGAACTTTAAAAGTTCTATATTATCAGGAATATAATTCTGAATATAATGGGCCTGGGATTGGGAAAAATAACAGAAAAGAAAGCAGCCCACATCATAAATAAAGGTAAAAAGTTCCTCCTCAAAAGTGCCCAAAGCAATCCTTAACTCTAGAATGCTCAGGTCCCACATGTTGAGGCATAAACCTCTGCAAAAAGGGATTTACATTATCAGTATGCCAGCACAGTTTAATCTTATGACTCAGGCCATTTGAGTGAAGATTTAGTCAATCATTCTTGATAGAAATAGCTTTACACTTCTTTTGTTTCAGGGATTTATTTGGTTCGCTATGGAAATTTAATAAACAACGCTAACTTTCAGAGGAAATACAAAATTGAAACTGTGCAGTTTCTTGCCTAGTTCATGTTGGTGCCTGTTAAATTTGTCGTTTTAATAGATTTTTGCAAATTAAGACCTTTAGAAACTGAGAAAATCTTTGACTTTTTCCCCCACAGTGCACGGCTTCAGTTCAGATAAAGAAATAGAATTATATTCTGAAGTCTTATGCAAGACTTAAGTTAGTTCAGCAAGTTTTGCAGGAGAAATGCTACTGATTTTAGTGATGCTTGTGTACTTGCATAATCTTTAACTAACACTATGATTGTTCTTTAAAAGGCCACAGCTACCACTTATGTTGGCACAATCAGTATTTAATCATATTACTACTACTAGCTCTTTTCAAAAAGCAAGGGCGTCTTAGAACATAAAACTAATTGCACCAGAGACATAATTTGTGAATTAACTTTTGAGATAATTTAAATCATGTAATTATAAACCAAGTAATACTTATAATCCATTACAAACCAACATTATAAACTAAGTAATAAACTTCCTCAAAGCTAATTATTTCAAAGCTTAATGCACTCTAGGATCTACAGTTGCATATAAACTTCACACATTCTTAGTACATGTTGAACTTTTGTTCTATTCAACTCTAGGAGCTGATTCCATCTAAATGGAAAATGTTCTAAACCTTGCCATAAAGCACAATAATGGACCATGGTCACTGTGACCAATAATTCAAAATGCAATTTCTTCTCCCCTCAAATATAGACACTGAGACCCCGTACTTTAAATTACATGACAGTAGAATTAACTATCCACATTTGAAGCGTCGGAGCTCACAACAGCTTTATTAGGGCATTCGATGAGAAAGCGAGCAATGACAAAGCCTAACTGACTGTGTTTCCTGCAAGGACAAACTGAGCTGAAAAATTCTGGATACCACTCAAGTTAGAACTAAAATTCAGAGGCGCTGTGGATGCCTAGCACCTCTCAAAATGGACCATTCATTAAGGTTAGCTTATAATTTAAGAAAATAATGAAACCACTCCTTTAACGTAGGACACTAGAAGTAGCTTATCTTTAAGGCAAAAAAAAAATTCACTGAAATCAAAACAATCATAGAGAGCCTTGCTGAGCAGAATGCAATTACCCATACACTTAAAACTAAACATGTGCTTACAGACTTTGCTCATGAGAAGTCTGTACCTCTCCCCTGTTCATTCTGTGTTCAGTCCCGCCTCGGCTAAAACCCTGCTCTCACTGTTGCTCCTTGTCCTTCCTCCAGCCTGACCTCCGTCCCTCTTGCACATACTTTTCCTACACTTGTTGAGTTCTGTGCGTGGTTCCATCTTCTCCTTTTTAACCAGGTAAAAGATATAGAATACAGAACAGCTGCTAGTTTTTATCTTCCATGCCCTTTCTAGTTTGAAGTCTTCCGTAGGGGAAGGTAAGAATAATGGCACAATCCTTCAGCCTCATGCCAAAAACCTCTAGGCTGCTCTACCTCCGGAGAGAAGACACTGGGGCAGCTTACAAGTAGAGAAGGGTTTCCTTTAGAACAGCCTAGAATTTATCAGTGGGCAGGAATTTCTTTCCTACACCTTGAACAAACTTTTATGTCACCTTGGGGAAAAGAGAAGGCAGGAATTACTGCACTCCATCAAGAATCTCATGAAGTGGTATGGAGACCAAAAATGGCCGCCAAACACTTGTATGTCTCGTGAGAAACATGATATTTGGTAGTGTAAATCTGACTATATACGGACAAAATTAAAGGGATTTGGGGGTTGTGGGTTTGTTTTTGGTTTTGGTTTTTTTTTACCAAATGCCTTTCCTTTCATTCAGGCAACATATATATTTGATACCTTTTGCTGACCCACCTAAACATGGATATCCTATCGCAATACTAATATGTGCATACATACTGACATATATACACAGGCAAAGAGTGAGAACACTTCTAAAG